ACAGAATTATATTATCTACCAGATTGCAGAGCTTGGATTCAAAATCGGACAGTATCTCTTGGCAGATGAATGCGGCACAGCAGACCTCATCGGGAATTTTGTCCCCAAATTGTTGCAATTGGTGGTAAAATTGCTCCTACTCATGTTATTCATGTTTCATGTTTTTCCTGCATGAAACCCCATATGCAGAAGTCAAATGGATTCAGATCCGAAATGGATAGAGACCGGTTCATTCGACATAAAAAAATTAGAGACTGTAGATACGCTTTGTATACCCAGTACTCGAAGCGTCTATGCGTGGATGTGGATTAGTGTAACACTAAGAAGGAAGCGTTTCCGATCCTTCCGATCCATATATACAAACCCACAGATATTATTTATCAGCATCAATAGCCAAGCCTATATACATATGTATATACATAGATATGTGTATGTAGCTATTTTTGTCTGTTCGTCCGTCAGCATGTCCATCACAATAAGCGCCTAGATCTCAGAGACTATAAGATCTAGAACATTCAGACTAGAGCTAGAGCTATTCAGACTGCTGTGTTTTTTTTTTACAAATTCTGCAGACGGTAAGCTGAAGCTACAATATGTTCAAGTATACTTTATAGATGCATTTATCAGCTTTTCAGAATTATTACAATTAGATGTGAGATACTTAAGTTATGTGAAAAATAAAAGCGCTAAAAGCATTAAAAACAAAATTCCTTTTAAGTTTATTTTGTCTCTTGATAAGCCTGACAAGTCGATAGGTCTTACAATTTTTTATATAAACAATAGATTTTCTGACTTTTTTTATGAATACATATAGGTACATATATGTATGAAGTTACTTACTGTTGACTCGGTATCAAACAGAGATAAAACGAGAAGGAACGTGTGAGTCGCTTCTGAAGACGCGACTCTACTTATACCCGTACTGAGTCAGTATTTACATTTATGAGCATATGATTTTTTAGAATTAAAAAAAAAATTTTACATTTTACATTTTTTTGCTACATCTGTTATCTACATCTACATATATTATGTATATTCTACATCTTACATATAGAGTCAGCATCAAGAAAGAATTTCTGGTGGCTTGATAATATTGATGTTCAGTCTCAGACTGACAACAAGGTTGTACCCTTTACCTTTCCCAACCGCAATTTTTATACCCGTACTCAAAAAAGAGTTAAGGGGTATATTAGATTTGTGGTAAAAGTGGATGTGTGTAACACAGAGAAGGAAACGTTTCCGACCCCATAAAGTATATATATTCTTCTTCCAGCTACATCAATAGCCGAGTCGGTAGAGCTATGTCTGTCTGTCCGTCTGTCCGTCTTGTTTGACGCCTGGATCTCAGAGACTATAAGAGCTAGGGCAACCAAATTTGGTTTCCAGACTCATGTGATATCACACTGCTACAAGTGTATTTCAAAATTTCGCCGCTTCCGCCTCCACAAAGGACGAAAATCTGTGGCAGCCACGATTTTAAAGATACAATAAAACTAAAAGTAGTATCGTAGAGAATGACCATATTTACCAGATTGCCGAATCTGAATCAGATCGGATCATAATTATAGCCAGAATGAAGAAATTCATTTTCAGTTGCTTCCCCCGCCTACTTCAGCCAGAGACACGCTGGTCATTTTCTTTCTCGCTCGCACACTCTGCCGCGTTCACTGCGCGAGCAACCCCTAGCGGAGGAGATGTAGAATCTAAATGGAACATGTACAATATACGTGTTAGATGTATGATATACATAGTAGATGTAGATCTAGATAGCAGATGTAGCAAAAAAATGTAAAATGTAAATTTGTTTTTTAATTCTAAAATTCTAAAAAATATTATGCTTAAAAATGTATATACTGACTGAGTACGGGTATAAGTAGAGTCGCGTCCCCAGAAGCGACTCGCACGTTCCTTCTCGTTTTATCTTAAATTTACGCATACAACTGATGAAAATTACTTAACTTTTTTACTACATAATAAAAAGTTTTGTTTAAAAAGAAAGCATACTCATAAGATTTATTATAAAGTCAACTTAACACAATTATCTAAATAAATAAACAAAAAAAATTTTTTTTAATTTTTTCCTCTAAGAGTACACCCTTCGACACGGTAATAAGATTATTACCAGATGTTGGAAAGGTCCATAGCGATATATTTCATTATGAAATACCATTTCATTTCTATTTTCATTATTGATAATTGATTTCAATATTGCTGCTATTTCGTCAAGTCCATTCGGTTAATTAGCTGTAAACGACAAATGCTATCCTTCGTTTATTGTGTTGTTTTAAATGACTTATTCTTAAATGATTTACTAAAAAACGAATGTATCTGGTTTTGATACAAAATAGAACATTCGAAAATTATCGAATGCATACATTTATACATACATATGTAAGTCTATAGTTAATTTTTAAAAAACGAAAAAGAAACAAAAACATCATCAGGTTTAACATTTATATTAGAGTTTCAAAAACCCACGAAAAGTCGTACGCCAAATCGAATTCTCGTAGCCACTAAAAGATTCAAGTTGACGGCTCAGTCAACCCGTACTATTTTGGTCATAGATTTCTATTGATCCAGACTTAGGGATTCTATTTATATAAAAATGTATGAATATGTTTGTATTATCAACTATATTTTTGATATTCATTCGATGTTATTTCGTAGATATATTCACAAAATATATGCTATTTAGTTTTCTGGCATAGGTCACTTCTAGTCGCAATAGGACCAAATGGTCATTTGTATAAAAAAGTTTGGACTTTTATGGATTAAACATACATACAACTTTTTCATGTACGACCACGTTTGATATCGATTAACGATAAATCAAAAATTCATCTCAGGCAAAAATTGTAATTTACACATGAAAATGTCTGTGTTATTCTCCCATATTTGAGCTGGATTTTTCAAGCCAAGAATGCTTAGATCAGCTTAGTTCAACTTTTATTGATGAAGCACCATGCATTGCCAATGTAAAAAACTGATATCGAGAATTCAATCGTGGAGCTCCTTCGTTGCAGGACAAATTTCGGGAAGGTTGTTTAAAATTAATTGTTGTCCCACAAAATATCGATGATGTGCGCGAAATGATTGAGCAAGATCGTCATTTTACATACTGTGAGATTGAGGTATGCTTGGGCATTAGTTTGACGACCATTAATAAGATTCCATGATCACCTCGTGGTAAAAAAGGTGTGTTATCGAAAATCGTAGTGCTTTAAAAGCTGGGTATAACATCTATAAAGGGGACGGCTCATGGATGTATAAATAAAAAATCGAAACAAATCAATAATCGACGGTATGGATGTTTTAAAACAAAAAAACCCTGATTAAGGCCTGTTTTATAGATACTTTTTCTGAGTGCCAAAAGTATTGTTAGTGGGTTAAAATGTTTTAAAAAAGAGTTTCATATTCCTGGATAATGTTGTTCAAAGTAATAAAGCCATTTTCAGACGCCTAAGTCGTGTTTTTCATATTTAGGTCAGAAACTTAAATTGCAGCCCAACAAATCTCTTATTTTCTATACACTCGTTCAATTTGAAGGACTAGAAATATCTCAAAAAGAGTTTTGAAAGTAGTGAGGTGCGGCACTACTATTTCATTGAACACAACTGTATGTGCCCATTTAACCGATATTATACAAAATTAAATTTAAAAATTGCATAAAACTGCCACTCATTTATCCAAATTGATAATAAAACTAAAGCTTTTAGCGATAAAATACATATGTACATATATCAGATAATTTTCACTTAGTTTAGTTTTTTGGCACGCCCAAAAATTATATACGAACTGACATGTACATACATACATAAATATATACATATGTAGGTATGTATGTATGTGGATGTGCACTTATGTATGCATGTACATACATTGTAGTACGCTGTAATATCAACAGAAAATAATGAGGAAATATATTATTTGTATATCGGTTTTTTGTATATGGATAACTAAATCTCTTTCAATTGGTCAGACTTCCGCACAATACATTCATTGCCTCGAAGCTACACCTTCTGTTTCTATTGGTACAAAATAAAGACAGGGACGACTAGCTCATGTTTTGACTGGTATTGAGTGACAGTGACTACATCTTGCTATCTCCCTTTGTTGTATCTATATACATAAATATCTACGTGAGTGTGAATGCTTCGCGCTCTCAATAACTCTCACTTGCCAGTATCTTCACCATTAGGGTAGATTTTACCTTGCATGTGTTGTATATTCTGGGCCGTTTTACGTGATATCCATACCTTTTTTTACTCAGCAACACACTTTTGTTGCCGAACAACATTTTTAGGCCCCAGCAACATTTAATGGCTGGCGTATTTGAGTGGATCGGTCTTGCCGCCCCCGAACATTAATGAAACATGTCTTGGCCGCGGAAAAACAACAGTATTCTCGTCTGAGTTTAGAAAAGTCCGTTGATATATTTGGAAAAAAAGAATTTAAAGCCAGGCACTAAACGAAGCTGGTTCATCATTTAATATTGACATTTTCGCTAAAAAACCAAAAAATATTTAATGTATTTTATTCAAAACCCACCACTTTGTTGTGAACGGCGTGCGCTCAAGAGTACTCGTGAAAATTGGAAAATCAAACAGCAACAAAAACTTTTAAATGTTCAACATAATTCTATAGTTTTATTGTGAAAGAAACAGGGCTTTATTTCATAAACAAGCCTTATATAATTCTAAAAAACAAAGTGTCAATGATAGACGTCAGTTAGTTTCCGTTGAAATCGTATCAGCTACTGAAAATCAAATAACCATCGTTAAAAATCTACCGACTAGTCCCGTTTTTTTGATTACGCGCTCCTTTGCAGAGACAAGGAACACACAGAAATAATGTCGAATTTTGGTTTCTAAAATAAGAAACTTTATTGATACATTCCACAAAAGTATCCATATATTTTCGCAAAAAAAAAACGAAACAAAAAAATATACATATTAATATATATATATATGAACGTATTGTTGATAATAACAATATTTATATACATATATCAAAAATCACTAGAACAGAGTATTTGCTTGTGCCGTGATATCACGAAAGGGAGATTACGAGTTTTATGAAAATTTAAACGAGGCCACAATGCCACGCCCGTTGAAAATTACTTACGGTGATCAGAAACCGCCATATTCGTACATATCATTAACTGCCATGGCCATAATGCACTCACCACAAAAATTGTTGCCGCTCAGTGATATATATAGATTTATTATGGAACAGTTTCCTTATTATCAAAAAAATACACAAAAATGGCAAAATTCATTGCGTCACAACTTAAGCTTCAATGATTGTTTTATAAAAATACCACGCAATGAAAAGAAGGGCAAAGGATCATATTGGACACTGCATCCTATGGCATTCAATATGTTTGAAAGTGGGAGCCTTTTAAGAAGACGAAAACGATTTCAGGTTAAGAATATTAAAAAGGAAATGTCTGATTGGAAGTTATCTGCACCGCCGTCTAATGAATCTGGTTCCGCTCCCTATTTAGGTGACAAACGGTTGCAAACCGACTTTACTGAACAGTTTATGTATAGCCATTTCAAAGTTGCTGATCTTTGGAATTATAATATCTGCACACCGCTGCCTCCGTTAGGTGTATCTAAAGTACCTACTTTTCGTCCTAAACGTGCATTCACAATTGAAAATCTTATATCCCCAGATTTTACTTGTACGCTACGTAAAAAAGGTGCTCGCATTGGTTATAAAGAGAATGAATATGTGGAAGAACCATTAAAACAGACACAGCTAATAAATCCATATTCTCATAATTTAACTGAGTTAACAGCACAGTCTAATTTCTACAATAAAAACAATTTACTTACTAGCCATTTTGGAAGAATAGCTTACTACCCACAGACACTTTCGCATTTTTTAGAGTGTTATTATAGACCATTACCATTATTTTGATTTAAAAAAGAACAACCGTGTATCCTGTATTTGTAGTATACAAATGTATATCATAGTATGTTAAATTGAAATTAAAATTGTATATGTAATAGAAAAATTGGGGTTTTTATTTAATATCGTTTATTACTAAACTATTATGTATCATATTAACAATAAAGATCCGTGCAAGAACTAAATATATGCTCTTATAATAGAAAAGGAACGAAATACCTATAAAATGTATACTTAATTTTCGAAAAAAATAATACCATTGCTCTTTGATTTTGAAAAGATGTTTGCATCGAAGAGAAGGAAGCATAATCCAATCGCATCGATCAGCATCCGCATCAATATAGCCACGTCTATCAGTCCGAAATGAGCGCCTATAAACATACATACATACAATCAAACATCTCAGACAATAAAAGAGCTAAAGCAACCAGATTTTATACTAGATCTAATTTATGACAATTTTTCTTACGCTCCCTACGACCATTCAAACGTAAAAAGATTGTGGGATGCTCAAGTTGGAAGGTACTGCCGCTAATCGTTGGGAAAAATCGCAATGAGTCTTAAGGCGTTTTGAGTTAAGGAGTATATAAGATTTGTGGTAAAATTGGATGTGTGCAACGCAGAGAAGGAAAAGTTATATTCTTGATCATCATCAATAGCCGAGTCGATATAGCCATGTCCGTCCGTCTGTCCGTCTCGATGAGCGCCTAGATCTCAGAGACTATAAGAGCTAGAGCAACCAAATTTTTTTACTGACTCATGTGATATTACACTGCTACAAGTGTATTCAAGTGTATACGAAAATCTGTGGCATGCACAATTTTAAAGATACGATAAAACTAAAAACGCAGTATCGTAGAGATTGACCATATCTACCAGTTTGCCGAATCTGAATTAGATCGGATCATAATTATAGCCAGAATGAAGAAATTAATTTTCCGTTGCTTCCCCCGCCTCCTCCAGCAAGGGACCGCGCTACTCATTCTTTTTCCCGCTCGCACACTCTTCCTCGTGCAGTGAGCGAGCGCCCGCTAGCAGAGAAAATGGCTCATGTATAATCTACATGTTAGATGTATAATATACAAATTTTTTAAAATTCCACATAAATCATAAGCTCAACGAGAAGGAACGTGTGAGTCGCTTCTGGCGACGGGACTCAAGTTATACCCGTACTCAGTCAGTATATACATTTTTAAGCATTAATTTTTTTAGAATAAAAAAAAAAAAATTTTACATATTTAATTTTTTTGCTACATCTGCTATCTACATCTACAATGTATATTCTACATTTAACATGTAGATTGTACATGTTCCATTTAGATTCTACATCTCCTCCGCTAGTGGTTGCTCGCGCACTAAACGCGGCCGAGTGTGCGAGCGAGAAAGAGATAGGTAGCGGGTCTCTTGCAGGAGGGGCCGGAAGAACCAGCAGAAAATTAATTTCTTCATTCTTGCTAAAATTATAATCCGATCTAATTCAGATTCGGCAATCTGGTAGATATGGGCATTCTCTACGATACTGCGTTTTTAGTTTTATCGTATCTTGAAAAATGTGCCTGCCACAGATTTTCGTTTTTTGTGGTGGCGGAAGGGGTCGGGTCGAAATTTTGAAATACACTTGTAGCAGTGTGATATCACATGAGTCTAGAAACCAAATTTGGTTGCCCTAGCTCTTATAGTCTCTGAGATGCAGGCGCTCAACAAGACGGACAGACAGACGGACAGACAGACAGACGGATAGACAGACAGACGGATAGACAGACATGGCTATATCGACTAGGCAATTGATGCTGATCAAGAATATATATACTTTATGGGGTCGGAAACGTTTCCTTCTCTGCATTACACACATCCACTTTTACCAAAAATCTAATATACCCCTTAACTCTTTTTTGAGTACGGGTATAAAAATGTATATACTGACTGAGCACGGGTATAAAAGTAGAGTCGCGTCCCCAGACGCGTCACACGTTCCTTCTCGTTTTTGATAGATGGATGTTTTTTTAATATGACTCATTTAAGTTTTTTATTTAAAGGCACACGTGTTTCGACACTCCTCCCAGCAAATGGACTATAATGGGTAAAATTAAAACTAATTTGCATCTCTTTTCGAATATATGGCTGGCGAAAAATGGGTCTTAAGTATATATGTACATATATAAAAAACCTATCGTTTCATGATTTCTCGCCTATTTACACGTAGTATGTACATATGCACGTCACGTCAGTACATATTCATGTCGTATTTACATCTTCGTCGTTTGAATTTACATCTTGCTTACCGCTTAATGTGCGGCATCCGCACACGAAATATTTTTATACCCTGCAAACATTACATTACATTTTTTTATTTATGTTTATTTATTGCATATCCACTTTTAAATAAGGGACTAACATTAAGTAATAATCAAATCTTCTACTAATTTATTTTAAAATTAGTTAGTTCATTTCATTAATGTTATATATAATAATAAAGTCGGTCGCAAGGCCTATTGATAATATCGCTGCAGTCGACTGTGACTGCAAACTCGGAGCAGAGGTTTTACAAGGGGATTTGGATGGAAAGAGTGCTTTGCTTTATGTGCTAATTTTTGTTCCAGTATTTCCTCTCTTTCGAGTTTGATGTTCTCAGGATTGTGATTGCATTGAAGATCTGCTAGATGCTTGACATTGTAGTCTTTACGACATCCATGGCCTTAGAGGTGATAAAATAAACACGCTAATATAGCACTTGATCGGAGGCCTCGTGCGGATTCCCGATCGGTCGAAGAAGGGTCCACAGTAATCCACTCCAGTCACTTCGAGATCCTTCCAGAAGCTCCTTCGGAGCTCATTATGAAACTGAAATGTGAAAATTACCGTTTCCTTTAATTTGTGCATGATTTTCGCAAGCGAATGGGCTCCACTTAATTCCAGCTAGCTATCGATAATGATTTCCGTGGTAGCACTCGAGACTTTGAGCTCAAAAAATTGCTTGGCGACGGCCCTTGACTGTACTCGACATATATGCAAGCGCCATTTGCTTACATGCTGGCATCCCAAAATCCGCGAACCTCTACAGCCATGCGAGAATGATGAAATGAAATGCGACAGATGCTTGCCAAGCTGTTTCTCAGGCTCGTCCAAGTTGAACACTGCGGGTAAGCTTTCATCCCAAACCAACTGTTCTCTCCAAAGCTGCTGAAGGAAGATCTTGCACCTCACAATAGCTGGATTAATCAATCCCAGAGGGTCGTAGAACCGCGCAATCGTTAATAAAACCGACAGCTTGGAGGGCTTTGAATTTTTGTCCAGCGCAGACAAGGCAAACAGCAGCTTATCCGACGCAGGGTCGCACGCTAAGCTAAGGGTTTTGGCTATGTCGCTTCCAACAATACCTTAGAAATACCTTAGGAACTTTTCTATGTCATCCTCAGGAACCTCTCCAATTACCTCCTGGTGACAAGAGCACCACTTCCCAAGCTTTAAGTTACCGCGAGTCAGGAGACTTGAAGTTTGGTGCATCTTTTCCATGACCTTTTGCGACTGAGTTACCGCCAGAGATAAGATCATCAACATAAAACTTCTGCTGCAGAGCAGCTGAGCCAAGAGGGTGAGACTCACCCTCGTCAGATTAATTGGAATCACCTTTTTGCACAACCATAACTTTTTAGTGCCAAAATTTAATTTTTGATCTACAAGTTTTTGTTGTTGTTAGTGGTGATAGGTGCGCTGATAGGCAGAAAAGTGCAAAAATGTGCTTTAAAGCGCAAAAGCAATCGAATATATCGAATAGACGCACATGAATCAGAGACCGACGCAACTTTTTGCCACCACTAGGGCACTATGCTTATCCTATGTAAAAAAAACCTGCGTCTCCGGCAAGACGCAAAGAAGCATGACGCAGCCCCAATGTAAACAGCCTATAAGATACCTTATTTCAGGCTGGGATATGCATCAGTCTGTCCAGGGTTCGTCTACAAGAAATTTGTAGATTTGCTGAAACTTAAGGTTCGTGGCTGGCCTTGTATGACCGAAAGAGTGGTAGGAAAGATGGGATATTATATGACTCAAGAACTTCTGTCGTTTTGTTTTGTTGATTATTTAATTATTTTATTGGCTTGGCTGGTTTGTTTACAATTTAGAACCTGCTTGTCTTGCTGTTTGCGTTGTGGGCTGGTGGCCTGCCTAGTGCAGTGTCTTGCGTTTGGACTGATGGACTGCCTAGTGCAGTGTCTTGCGTTCGGGCTGATGGACTGCATGCTTCTTTGGCCGAGCTTGGGCTTTTTAAGCAGCTGGCGATCGCACTTGTGACCGTGATTTTCCACGGTCTGTCTTTGACCCGGGAATAATTAATTATTTCTAACTTATGATTATTGGGTAACAATAATTGTGGGGTGGGGTAAGTAGGTCGAAGCTTGGTGCTTCGTTGACAATTGGCTAGTGGGTCAGTGGAGTTGAGTCGAGTGTTTGGCTGTGACTGCATCGCGGCAGATGCTGGCTGCAGTTGGGGATTGGGTTTAGGATTGGTTTTTGCTGAATCTGCATCGCGGAAGGTGAAAGCTGAATTTTGGTCGGTAGGTCGATAATTTTATGCTGACGTGAATGGTTGCGAAATAACGCAAAGAAGCGGGTGACCGAGAATTTAGTGCTGTCTTCGCTGATTGCGAAATAATGCAAGAGGTGGGGTGTTTTCTTTTCGTGTGTGGACAAGAATGGGTAGAGTTGTTGATCGAGAGTTCTTAATTTGAGTAATTGTGTGTTGCTTAAGACTATTTTATTTTCCGGAGGAGCTGACACAGCGCTTTTAGAAGACCGTGGCCAGAGCCATGGTTCGTTGGCACTATGTATATCAGTTTGATTATTCCTCCCGCCCAGCGTGGATGCGCTGACACTCCTCTGTTTGTGACGAGCCATGGGTCCTTTGTAGTTGGATTCAGCATGGTGGGTAGACTATCCCATATGACGATGGTTTGCTGGGCGATGTCTGGCGATTCTTTGTCCAGGCATTCGCGAATCTGCGGTGCTATGTCGGGTGAACAAGGATCCGTGGGCTGTTCTGGCTCGTCTTCGGTAGGTTTGCTGGCTCCAGGATCAAAGGTTTGATTCGGGTCTTTCGGCAGGATGGGTCTGTCGA